TCATCTGGGTTATTTTGGTGTCTCTAACAGAGAGGAAAATTCCCAGAAAAGAGAAGGAGTTTACTAGGCAAGACTGCCATGCAGAGTAAGGTAGAGATAATCCTTGGCTTACAACAACAATTGAGCCCCAAATTTTGGTTGCTCAGCAAGAGCATTGTTAAAGTGAGTTTTGACACATTTTACTCAATCCATCCTCCAAAAGTGGGTGTTAATCACTGTGGACCAGATTGAGAATTTGAGAGAAAAGTCCTGCTAGATTACCAGTGATTGACACACTTGTAAGGGAAGGGTAAAGGTACCCCTTGACTTACTGTATGTCCACCATTGAGCCTCAAATCTTCGTTGCTAAGCAAGACAGCTGCTCAGTGAGCTTTCACCCACTTTACCACCTTTCTTGCCACCATTGTTAAGCGAATAGTTGCAGCTCTTAAGTAAGTCACATGGTCTTTAAGTGAATCTGGCTTCCCCATGGACTTCGTTGGTCAAGTTGCAAAAGGGGATTGTGTGACTCTGGGACACTGAGACCGTCATAAGTAAGAGTCAGTTGCCAAGCATCCAAATTTGGATCACCTGACCATGGGGATGCTGCAACAGCCATTATATGTGAAAAACAGGCATAAGTCCCTTTTTCCAGTGCTGTTGTAACTTGAATGGTTGCTAAGTCAGTCACACAGTCGCTAAGTGAATCATGCTTCCCCGAATCTCCATTGCAAAGCGAGACAGCTGTTTAGTGAGCTTTCACCCACTTTACAACCAGTCTTACCACCATTGTTAAGTGGATCGTTGTTTAAGTCAGTCAGACAATGGTTAAGCAAAGCTGGCTCCCCCAGTGACTTTGCTTATGAGATGGTCACAAAAGGGAGATCACGTGACACTGCTACCATCATAAATGCGAGTCAGTTGCTAAGCATCCAACTGTAAATCACGTGACCATTAGGATACTGCAATGGTCATAAGTGTGAAAAATGGTCAACAGTGGCATTGCAGCTTTGAACGGTCACTATATGATACGGTCGTAAATTGAGGACTACTGTTTTCCAATTTGATGGCAATCCTTGACTTATGACTGTCATTGCCAGCCTTCACCGATGTCGTATGTGTTATGTAAGCTCCCCGATGGGAGAGCGAGTACGTTCAGAAAAGCATTGTGAGAGTTGTGTTGGAGAACACACAAACCAGCATACAGAGACACTGCAGTTTAAATAGGCTTTTACTTTCGTGGAAATAGAGGTATCAGAGTCCATCAAACAGTCCAAGTCATACACAGATAATTCAGTCAGTCATCAATGTCATTCAGTAAGGGATAATCCAAATAACATAGTCCAATAGCCATATGATCAGTCCGGTAATCAAAGCTTTGCTAGCAGTTGCAAAAANGAATGGGTCAAGATAGCTAGCTTCCTCCAAGGACCGCTGGAGCTGAAAGGCTGTATCATTTGCAGTGGTGTGGGGAGAAATCCATGGGTTAAAGGGATGAGAAGGCTGAGCTTCTGCTAGGGATGGCCTTCTCCTTCCTCTAACTCATGGATTTCTTCCCCCACCCCATTGCAAATGAGGCAGCTTTCAAAGAGAATGAAGTGCGGGGCTTCTCCTGCACTCCAGCAAAGGAAGTGGGTGGGCAGGGTAAACATGGTGTGGACATGTGAGGAGGCCAGAGGAGGAACCATACCTGTATGGGGGCTTCCAGCTCTACCTACCGGAAACGTATGCCCGATTTCTGCTACTGGTACGGGCGGACTGGTGCGGACTGGTAGGAACCCACCACTGGTCTTAGGCACACAAAGTCCATGCTTTCCCTGCATAGATGTGAAGGGCAAAGAACAGTAGTCCATTCTGAACATCAGCAGGGTCCTGGGGCCCACCCTTTGTAATCTTGAAATTTAATAAAGGTAGTTGAAGAAACAGCTGGAAGACAAGCAGCTTAGGCTGCAATTAGAAGTTTCCCTAAGTCCATAATTTAGTTTCCAGGTAAACTGAGCCTATTTTCCAGGCATTGTTTCCATTAGCACCAATACCATTTTTTTAATACAGCACATAGAATAACAGCATTCCATAATCAATATTTAATAGGTGAAGCTGCCAATTACTGTCTTTTATATTTCAGCTTCTTACTGTGGCAGTATAATATGCATAAACATCAACTGTTCGTTTCTGGCTAGAATCAGTATAGGCAGCATTGCGTATAGTTTTTTTTTCCTGAGAATTATCTCATGGAGTAAATCATTAGTGCAATGTTACATTACAACACTTGTAGAAAAAAATGTCCATATCACAATCAGATGGAGAAAGAATTTGGAGTAAGTTTCTTGGACTACCTTAGAAAGATGGTTCTTTCCTTCCAGATGGTTCTGCCATATGCAGATAAACAATATAATATATAGCAGTTTCAATGCTGCTTTAGATACACAATCCTTAAAGTACCCCAGCCTTGTCAAAGAAACCAAAAATGATGCCCATCATGAAAAACATAAGCCTTATTTTAGAAGGAAAAACAGTTATTCAAAGCAGTGCTGGACAGACAATTATTTAAATATAAAATTTGTACATGAATTCATTAGAATTAGATAATGTATTTCAATTTGATATATTTCAAGACTTTTCAATCTTTCTGTTTGACTCTTTTGGAGAAACTAGAATGATATTCTTTAATGTCAATGAACAGTTTTACTCTGGTTTCTCTTTAGATCATATAAATCTTTCGCCTTTTTTTAAAATGTCAATGAACTGAGAGTTCATCAATTAAAATATTGAATGTTGAAAGAATCTTTTAATTTTGATTACAGAACAGAACAGAATAACAGAGTTGGAAGGGACCTTGGAGATCTTCTAGTCCAACCTCCTGCTTAGGCAGGAAACCCTACACCCCTTCAGACAAATTGTATTCAATATCTTCTTAAAAACTTCCAGTGTTGGAGCATTCACAAGTTCTAGAGGCAAGTTGTTCCATTGATTATTTGTTCTAACTGTCAGGAAATTTCTCCTCTGTTTTAGGTTGCTTCTCTCCTTGACTAGTTTCCACCCATTGCTTCTTGTCCTGCCCTCNGATTTATATATTGTCAACCCAACCGTTAGATTATATTCCTAACAATGGTCCCTGTCATATTTGGAATAAGGCCCTTCATAGACCACACAAAAACCTGTGGGGACCTGACACGCCTAATTTGAATCCTGCCTCCTCAATTGATATGCTGTTTGCCCTGTCACCATTTTCTTCCTTCCAGTTTTGTTTTCACAATTAAACTAAGATACATTAACTTTGTAGGAGAGTGGTGGCAAATCTATGGTGGCAAAAAAAAATATCAAAAGAAATTTAGTGGCATCTTTTCCAAGGTATTTTAATAATATCTATAGCTCAGGGTTTAACTGTTGGGTTCTAGGTGTTTTCTGAGCATGGCTATAGTTATGAATGAGTTATGAAAGTTTATTTATATGCTGCCCTTTTCCCTGGGGGGACTCAGGGCGGCTTACAACTCAATAGGCTTGCAGATGTTTCACTACCTAATTAGGTAGTAACATCAGTGCAAGCGGAGTGTGGGTTTTGCTCCCTGTTTATATACAGTAGCTTGCCCTATCACTTTTCGAGGGGGTATGGTTTTCTCCTTGGTTGTTTCTTGGTTAGGATATACTTTTCTGCTTTGTTGTTTGCCTGGTGTTAATCCCTGCTTATCTGGGTGTTGGCTGCTGGAAATGTGTTCTGCTCTTTTAGTTCCTTGTCTTTTGTATTGTATCTTTTGAATGGTGTGTAAATATGATTTATTTCTACGTGGCTATTGATGACCGATTTGTCTAAATGTCAAACTTCCAGGAAATGGAACAGGGAGCAAACTGCACACTCACTCGTATTAAAGATGAACCAAAGTTATTGAGGGAAATTGTTGTCTGAGTAGATATTGAAACCTTGATTTTTTTTTCAGCGCATGTTCAGTGTGTTCTTTTATACATCCAACAAAAATAAATTGTTAGAAGGAGGATTAACCCACATTGCAAAACTCTGGAACACAAAGAACCACCTTGTAACAATGATAGAAAACATTACATATCCCCAAATCACGCCATACAGACATTTCCACAAACAAATCCATAAGTGAATAATATCAGAACCCTTGTACCGATTTTACTCATGTAGTGTGTATGTGAGCAGTATTGTCCAAACAAGAGAAATATATTGGTCCAAACAGCTTTACAACTTTTGAAAAAAGCTCACTTTTTACAAGCTGTTTAAAAAGTGACCCCCTTCCTTTAATATTATCTGTTTCCATTCTTCTTTTTCTTCAAAAGATATCCGAACGGCATGTTGCAAACCATTCGTGTAGTAGATTAAGCCATGAAAGAGAGTTCCCAGTGGATCCCAAGATCACCCAGTGGATCTCTCTGTGTCCCGATTCGGCCGGAACAAAAGTTACTCGCTACTAGTAACTACGACAAATCCCCGTTTCCTAATATTTCACCCTGTCTCCGATTTTGTCCCCGTCGCTGATTCCTTTTGTATCCCATCACACGTATAAGAGAGAAGGGCTACGGCGGAGCGACCTACCGCCGGCACGAAGCGCCAAGCGAGGGGGTGGGGGGGACAGAGAAATCTTTGCAGTTTAAAGGGGAGAAGGGCGAGCGCTCTCTTCCCCCTTATGCAAACCATGCATTGTATTGTAAAAGCTTTGACCAGCCCTATTGGCAAGGATAAAAGGGGAGGGGGGAGTTCCTCAGACGTTCAAGCAGCGAGTTCTTTTCTTCTCCGGGCTCTATAAGGACCCCCTCTCGTCTCCCCTCCCTCCTTCTATCTCTCCGCTCCTGGGGTTTCACAAAGCCGCCCGAAGGCGCCTCGCCAACTTGCTCGCAAGCCAGCGGGGTGGCGGTCGTCGGCCCCGCCTCGTGCGCGCCCCCGCCAGCGTCCGCGCCGTGCGTGCTCGCACCCGCGCTCTTTGCAGGGTTCTCCCCTCTGCCGCCCTCTTCCAGCGGGCTCTTTTCCTTCGCTCTGTCTCCCTCCCTCCCACGCCCTCCCTCCCCACTTGCCCGCCGCCTTGGAATGAAGATGGTGGCGAGCGTCCGAGTGCAGAAGCTGGTTCGCCGGTACAAGCTGGCGATCGCCACGGCGCTGGCCATTCTGCTCATCCAGGGCCTGGTGGTGTGGAGTTTCAGCAGCCTGGAGGAGGACGACCAGGGAGAGGTAAGGCAAAAGGGGGAAATCTGCAAAAGGATCGCATTGCATCGCGCGGGAGAGCTGCTATCCCCGACGGAGGACGGGGGAGAGTGGGGGTGGGGGAGAGAGGAAGAGACTGACGCCCCCCCCCCCGGGAAAGTGGGGACGCTGGAGGGGTCGTGGCGGGATCGGTGCCAAGAGCAGCCGGGTGGACTTTCCAGTCTCTGGGGCTGGGAAAGTGGCGGTGCCTCGGGTCAGCCAGCCTTGCATGTGTGGGGTAATGGTGCTCTCCGGAATGGAAAGGCGTCCGTCCGCTCTTGGAGGCGTGCGGGTTTGGATGCCTTCGGGTCAAGCGTCGCTAGTGCGTGAAGAACTGAACGGTCTAGAGGTGGTGGACGGGAGCGGAGTACTTTGGCCATTGGGGAAATTGGGAGAGTGACCGAAAAGCAAGGGACCGCTTAGACGGTCGAGTTATGGTTAAAAGCAGGGCTGAATCTTGGAATTGACCTTTGGGGAGAAGGGAAAAAAAGATGAAGGATCGTCTATAGCGAACTGTCGCTGTTTCTCTGAAGGAGGACCGGGAGCCGCTTCCCAAAAACCTCCGAGTCTTCTTGTGAAGTTCACTGCAATTGGAGCCTTGGAATTGAACACAACGGAGACGTTGCCTTGGTCTTGCGGATGGGGAAGACCGCGCTTCTTTTGTGCTCCCTCCGAGAAAACTTGGTGTGGCGATCTAGACTAAGAGGCACGTAATGCCGAGCGGATGGCAGATTTCTCCAGGCATCCTTCGGCCCTTAGGAACGTGGGATTTTGAAGCCCGGCTTCCCTTTAGTAAGAGTGGCCGTATAGGAAGCTCCCGGGTTTGTTTTGGAACTAGAGCGCTGAAGAGAGGTCCTTGTGTTTGCTGAAGGAAAGGTCGAATGTGAGACGGTGTTGCATCAGGAGGGAATAAAAGGGATGCTAAGTGGTGTTAAATGAGCATTAAATACAATGGGGGGGAGGAACATCTGGAAAATTGACATCCTCCTCTAATTTCAAGACTGGGTTGCATTTCAAAATTGCTCTTGAGTTGCTCTGTGAGGCTACTATAGTGTGAGCTATGTCTGTATGTGGATTTTATTTTTGTCACCCTGTAGGATACAAAGAACCTCTTTTGGCTTGGTTATTTCCACTGGGCATGGCAAAAATAATCTCACCCCAGGAGGTGAGCTGCTGCTAGATCTCTAGACAGTAATCAAGCTACTGAGAGAGAGCAGGGCCTGCGTGTGGGAGGGGGGGGGGAGTATCCAGAGCTTCAGGACACACACTAGCAACTTAGCCATATTCACCATATAGAAATATAGGTGCTGCAGGGAAATATCTCAAGCCAGGAGGAAAATGAAACGGATGTAAATTCCTGATAGGCCCTGGATAAAAGATTGTGCCTTGTTCTATCCACATTACCATGTTTATTGTTCTTCATCAAGTTTTAAGACTAAAAAGTTGGTTTGGCATTTTTCTTTCAGCTTCAGTCAGGATATATGTACTCATGTTCAGAGTCCTGAACGTACATTGAAAAATTCAAAGCAAAGGTCAACATAGCCACCTCAAGTTTACTGAGAAAGTAAAACAAAAATAGTAATAATGTATGCCATTTTGGAGTTTGTTTCATTGATTTAATAAATGTTTATGGGGAAACAAAAATATCCTTGGACATGAATTGAGAAGCATCAACATGGAATAACATAGAAATATGGGAGAATTTGGAAATTTGACCACGCTAATCATTCCACAATTTTCAACATGCCTTAATCTGAACAGTTGTGTTTCTGTATGTGTGGGCATATGGGTGCCTGTATAATTAAAATAGTTATGATTGGAGTTTAATCCTAGTAAAGACATTCGAGCACCTGAAGAATTTGAATTATTTGGTGCTGTGAAGTTCTCCATTATTCGTTCCTAATTTGTGTTCTTTGGTATTCGCCCTTTTCCCCTGATTTTCTTAATTTAGTTGGGCTTAACATAGTATAGCTTTTTCAAAACCGTATTGGTTATGGAATATCCAAGTTATATTTTGAGATACCTGTACTGGTTATTTTGCAGGCGTATAAAATAGCCTGGTTGTTTGAGATGGACTTGATCCTTCTTATGCCTACCACAAAAATTGTTAACATGCCTCTGACATAACATGTAGCACACTAATTATGAAGAGATTCATGTTTTGCTTTTCTGTTTGGAAAGTCAGAGGTTATGGGTATCTTAAGAATGCTTCCTCTAAAAGCCAAGGGAAAAGTTTCCAAACCTTCTTATCAGAGTTGAGTGCTTTCCTGCTGGAGGTAGTCCTTGACTTAAGACCATAACTGAAACTAGAGTTTCTGTTGATAAGCAAGTCACACTTGATTTTATTACTTTTTCACCCATTGACTTTGCTTGTTGAGAAGGTTGCAAATTGTGACCCCGGGATGCTGCAACAGTTTTAAATACATACCAGTTGACAAGCTCCCAAATTTTGTCCACATAGCAGTGGGGATGCTGCAATGGTCATAAGTGTGAAGACCAGTTGTAAGTAACTTTTTCCACTGCCTTTGTAACTTGGAACAGTTGCTAAAGGAATGGTTGTAGGTTGAGGACTACCTATACTTGTCTTCAGCTTCTGTGACCTTCAGAAGCACAATGTTTACCCAAAGTATCGTTTGGTAGTTAAATTATAACTATAAGAAGAAGGAACAAGTATTGTTTCTTAATTAAATACAACCGGAGAAGGCATAGAAAATCAAACTTCTTGACATTAATTTCTGCCATTGTGACAGCCACCAGGTCTATGGAGGCAGTCAGGTAGCAACCAACAAAACTCTTGCCCTTTGCTGCATTGGCAGCTTTGCCCTCCCTAGCACTCTCCATGTGGTTTTACTACAAATTGCATGTCAACAGGGCAATCGCTGGGGATTATGGGAGTTGAAATCTAGCATATCTGGAAAGCAAAAGCTGGACAAGGATCTTCCAATTAGAGAACAGGATTAAGTAGATTTTGGAAAAGGTAAATCAGTCATATTGGTCGGGGCCTAAAAAGGCAGTCTTGGGGAATATATGCTTTACCCTCTGGGTTTAATAAATTTACTTCGGACTAAATAAGCATACGGTAAAGCTTCTCTAAGACTGTTATTGAAGAAGAACATGATAAAAAGTGGCATTCAACCTGGCAACCTTTGGGCTAAGGTGCCATCAAAGCCAGCAAGTGTGGGTAAGACTTATCTCCGTAATATGCTAGCTTTCTCAATTCAATTCATCTAGTCTGCTTGTTATTTTAAAATCTTGACGCTGCCCAAATATTAGAGAGCTTTTTTAGAAGTCCAAATTGATGTCTTGCCATCTGCTGTGCTAGAGGGCACTTTCAGCGTTCTACCAAATAAGGAACACCTTTGCCCTATGGAACTGTTAAAATGTTTGAACAAATCCCTCTGTGGGAATCTTTTTATGGAACCTCTTTCACGTCTGCTACCTCTCCTTCTTAGATGCTCAGGAGCTTCCTGGGGTTTTGGGGTTTTGTTTTCCTTTCTGTGGACCTAATATGAACAACAAAATTACTTACTGTTGTGATTCATCTTGTAGAGCACTTCAGATTATTCTAAACCAGCGTTTCTCAAACTTGATAACTAAAAGTTGTGTGGACTTAAAGTGCTGGCCTAGATATCTGGAGACTGTGAGTTCTAGTTCCACCTTAGATCTGAAAGCTCCCTGGGTGACTTTAGGCCTACCTACCTACCTCACAGGGTTGTTGTGGGAAAATAAGAGAAGGAGGAAGTGTTGTGTGTGTATTCGCTGCCTTGAATTACTTATAAAGGAGAGAAACAAATAAATAAAAAGTAAATAAACATTTTAGATTGTGGAATAGTTTATTTCATACAAATGAGGACCCAGGTGGTTGGGAACAATATGCTGACTGGGTAAACTGCTTAGAGAGGGCTGTAAAGCACTATGAAGCAGTATATAAGTCTAAGTGCTATTGCTATTTTTGTTATCTGAATGGGTGCCTTCTCATTCAAGTGAAGACATGGAAGCCATCCTTCCATCCTAAAATTTCCATTTAATCTCTGATCACTTCATTGACCAGCCCAGTCTTTCTTTTAAAAAAAAATGCAGTAGCTACATTATCATGCAGATTAAAACAGGCTAAAAAAAGAGAAGTCAGTACAGATTTAATCAAGTCAATATAGAACTGTGATTCACAGTGCATATAAAATAATTAATGCAAAATAATTGTACGTTTCTTTGCAGTAGGAGAGGGGGGGCTATGTGAATAAATTAGAGGCTTATCTTTTATTTGCTATGATTTTATCGGGTTTGGATTGGATGGTTCCTTAAGGGATGTCTGTCAAAAAATAAATTCCCAGCGTTGAGTTACTGCTTCTCTGAAAAATATCCATTAAGCCAATTACACCCTAAGATGTAATTTTAGTCCATTCCAAGCAAGGTAACCTATTGATTTGGGGGCTATTGGATAGTAGTTGGGGAACTGATACTACAGTCCTAAGTGCCTCTGCTCTTGAATTTAATGGAGTTTACTGTTTGATAGAAGAGCGCAGCTTGAATTAACAGTGAAGAATTCAAAGGCTCTGCTAGTCATGCTCCAAATGCCAGTTGCCAGTTGAAACTGAACTCCAATTCGTGGCTCCTTTATTTCAGGAGAAAACCCTCTGATTGTATGATGAAGATTCTGGAACGGGTATCTTTGTGCATTTCGATAGTGAAATATAAAAAAAGAAACCAGCCTTTCCCAACACACCTTTTATCTCTTCATGATATAAGAAAGCACCAATGGTCCTGCAGCTCTTATGTGACTTCCTTAAAGAGGCAATTAGTTGCAAAGTGGGTTGTTTTAAACCACGCTTTTTAAAGCAACAGTTTGGGGTTTTCTGTTTTCTGAAAACTCTTATTGCTCTTCCCGATTTCTTCAAGTTCTGTTGGAAGACAAAGGCTTTCGCTAAGTATAGTGTTTGCATGACATACTTTAAGAGACAAATTGGGCTGTGTTATTCAGGAACAGAAATGAGAGTTCTGGAAGAGAAAAACAAGAAGATGAACTTTTTAAAACAATCCTTTAAAACAGTGGAAGGCCCCAAGGCTATACCTTGGGTGGGACCTCAACAATATCATGGGTGGAACCAAGTTTTAGTTAAAGAGTAGACAGAAGTTTTCTTTATTTCTATTTTAGAGCTCTTACGCTCCTGCTTTCATGTTTTCCCATTTCAATATACAGAAATTATATATACAGTATAATTTCTGTTGCTAAGCGAGATACTTGTCAAGTGAATTTTGCCCGGTGTTAGGACCTTTCATGCCACAGTTATTAAGTGAATCACTGCCGTTTTTAAATTAATGATAGGGTTGTTAGGTGAACCTGGCTTCCCCATTGACTTTGCTTATCAGAAGGGCGTAAAGGAGGATCGCATGACCCCAGGACACCATAACCAGCATAAATATGAGTCAGTTGCCACGTGTTGATCATGTGACCATGGAGGTGCTGCAGCGGTCCTGAGAGTGAAAAATAGTCATAAGTCACTTTTTTCAATGCCGTTGTAACTTCGCATTAAAGAAATTGTTGTAAGTTGAGGGCTTCCTGTAGGAGGAAAAGGGCGTTGGTACTTACCTGATACACCTCTTCTCATAGTGGGGTTCTTGGGGAAGCTGCAGCTCGCTGCTTGACCCTGTGGGGAGCAGCAGAGCGCTCCGGTGCCGCTGGTGCCTTCGCGGCAGGGCTTGTGCCCTTTGTCTCCTGCTTGTCTGGCAGATTTCTTTTCTGAGTGGTGCTTGTCTCACTCAGAGGCCTGGGCAGCGTGCCGCCTGGGGGGGGGGGATTTTGGCAATCCTTTCTCAGCTCAGGGAGCTTCCAGCTCGCATGCGGCTCCTGCGGTGGGGAGACAAATGAATTTTTTCACTTTCTTTAAATCTCTTCAAATTTATCAGAGATCCAGGAGGGCAAACCATTCACTTGAGGGACTGAGTCGATAACTGAGCAGTGCCTGGTGGACCAGGGCTTATCCCAAGAGCTTATTTGACTCAGTCCAATCAACGATAAGGTCAACCCATCCTGGATACTCCTCCCCTCACTATGGAGAAGTATGGCCAGCATTCAACAAAGCAGCAGGGGTGGGTAGCAGTCATGATGGAAGGAGGCACGGAGGTTCAGGAGCCAGGGGAAGAGGCGCTCACCTTTCTCATCCCTGCTCCAGAATGTTGCATTTAACAAATATGTAAGAATCCAAATTTCATCATAGTGGGATGGGATGATAAGAAGTGTCTTTCTCCTAGATTAGAGCTGTCAAACTCTCGGCGGATGCATAATGCTCTGGCCACGCCCAGTTTAATGAAAGGGGAGGAAGCTGCAATGCATCATGTGATGCCGCCATGATGCCATAAGTTTGACACCCCTGTCCTAGATTGTACAAGTTTGCAGCATTAAAAAAAGACATTGTTCATATAAAGGAACTACTAGGAGGTGAATTATCTACAAAAAAACATAACTTCTAAGTCACCAATACAGCATATCTGTGTATACATAGCTCCATTGTTGAAACAAGAGGATGTTCTTTTAAACAGCAAAATGAAATAGAAATGTAAACAGGCTTCATTCTAAAGCATACATACAGGAAATAAAGCTCCTTTAAATTCACGTGGCACTTCAAAGTAAACATGGTTGCATTCCAGCTGTGGGGTCCTCAGATGCTTGAAGTATCTCTTGGTTGCACCATTTGTTTTATTTAAAACATCCACTGAGAATTCAAATCAGAGAGATAAGAAAGACCTCTATGAATACTTTATGCTAATTTTATTTATATATACACGAATGTCTCCTAAAAGAAAATTAGAAAATTGCATTGACTTTACAGCTTGAAATGTTGAACAGAGAGCATTCCAAAAAGGAGTGGGGGGGAGCAATCTTAACAAAATACCCCAACACCAATACATTGGTTGTATAAAAGCAATTGAATGCTATTACAGGTAATCCTTGATTTACAACAGTTCACTTAGCGACTGTTCAAAATTAAAACGGCACTGAAAAAAAGACTGCTTTTCACACGAGTGTTGGGGCTTCCCCTTGGTCATGTGATCAAAAGTCAGATGCTTGGCAACTGACTCATATTTACGATGGTTGTAGTGTCTCAAGTTTATAGTGATCCCCTTTTGCAACCTTCTAGCAAGCAACTATTGTGGTTCTCTTAACTGTGGCAAGAAAGGTCGTAAAATGGGGCAAAACTCACTTAACAAATGTCTCACTTAGCAACAGAAATTTTGGTTCAACTGTGGCCGTAAGTCAAGGACTCTCTGTACTTTGTTAGTTACTTTGGTTTATATATTTGAGGCAGACCTGGAATATTTTAGCCCTGGTATTTATTTATTTAAAACTTTTATATGCCGCCCAATCCCAAAGGACTCCGGGCGGCTTACAAACAAAATATAAAAAAACCCAAAACAATACAATTTAAAAGAACAATCATCCATCAAATTCATTCTAGTTGGGCCCGGACCTCAATAGTGAGGTCAACAGCCCCAGGCCTGCCAGAACAGCCAAGTTTTTACAGCTTTCCTG